TAAGACTTTTTTGTATTATTTTCCATCCAGAAAAAAAAGTGGCGTTAAGGTTTGTCTAGTGAAGTTCTCAGTGATACAACAGACTGTCATTATTTGCCACCTTCTACTATGATTTCACATGTTGCATAAACTTAGTGCCACAAGGTTCCCATACAGCTGCCCTTCCCCAGTGGCAACCCCACTCCATGCCTCTTCTCCAGGAGCAACCACAATGCAACACCCCAAGCCAGCCTGGGGGTAGGAAAGGCCCCTACATTTGCTGCTGTGGCAAAAATGCTGCACCAGTCACCCGCTTATTTGTTGCCACAATCCTACCGAAAACTGAAGCCAAAGCGTCTTCCCGTGTACCAAAATGTACTACTATTATTATTCTTATTTATTTATTTATTTATTTATTTATTTATTTATTTATTTAACTTATATGCCGCCCATTCTACCCAAAGGTCTCTGGACGGCTTACAGCAATTAAAATTCAATTAAATACAATAAAAGATAAAATAATTAAAATACAATTAAAATTGCCATCAGGCCCCACTGTTAAATGTTCAGGAAGTCCTCTTTCCCATGCAGTTAGTTAGTTACCTTGTACTCCTGTGAAATGGATAGCTGGTTCTGGACGCACTTCACATATTGTCTGATATGTATGTATGGAAACACAGGAACCTATTGAACTGTCAAAAAAGGCTCTGTAAAGGTCCAGGCAGGGGTCTTTCCTAGCTCTACCTGGAGACCCCTGGAATTCCCGCTGACCTCCCATTCCATATGTTCTTTTTCCTAATACAGTGACTCAACATGGTTTACAAAATGGTTTTAAAAGAAAACTCCAGATTCAGCTAAAAGCCACAATAGATTAAAGTAACCACATTAAACATATATTATACTGAAACAGCTACTAACTTAATTTCCTAGTGCACTGGAAGCAGGCAAAGTAGCACAGCCCCATCAAAAGCCAACTCATCAGCAGCTCCTTGCCTTGCCACCCACCTGCCAGCCTGCCAGCAGGAGAGCCGGAGGAGGCCTGTCTAGGCTCTCTTGGCAGGGAGTTCCAAGGGAATGGTGGATGACTTCTCCAACAGCCCCATCTCTAGACTGATCAGGCCAGTTAATTCAATGAGATGCAAAGTACTCTTTCCAGAAGGCTGAGTGTTTTCTGTCTGCATAAAGACCTCATAACCAAGCTGATCCAAGGAACAAAAGGCCGGAGAAAAGACCTCCAGTCCTAATCCTGAGCTCTCTTAATAGGGCAAAGGGGTTGCAGCACAAAAGGCGTGACTACTTAGCATGGAGACAGGAGCTGCTGGTGCCAAGAGGTTAATCACTCTCAAGGTATTATGCTGCGCAGAATAATGTGCAACATACAGAATGACACATGTTGTTAATTCAAGTAGCAAATCATTACAATCTGTTTTCACCCCTTTCAGTTTTGAAAAGGTCACTAAATAGCAGCATGTTTCACAATAGGTTCTTTAATTCCATGCACCCTCCTAAAGAAAAAGCAGCTAGTATTACTTGAGATGATCTGAATATAAAGATCCCGTAGGCCAAGGAAGGTCGATCTGAATGGTTGCTTTCTTTCGTGGCTTAGTCAAAAATCTGTTGTGTGTTGCATGTAATCTCAACCCTCTCTTCACTACACTGGCATCTTAACAACATGAGGCCACTGTGATGTCCAGCTTAAGTATCAAGTGACCCTCTCAGTTTTAAACAGAAGTACTTCTGAAGAAGTAGGTTGTGAGCCATGGAAGGCACATTACACTTAAATTCATTAGTCTTAAAAGTGCCACGAGCTGTGCTTGTTTTAACAGTCTTAAATAAAACACTTTAATGTTTTCAATGTCATCATCAGTTTGATCTTCTATACTGCCTGAAGTCCTGGGGGAGGAACCCTTGGGTTTTTACAAACATTTGTTGTGTTTAAGTCCAACACAACTGCTAAAATCCGGTTGCTTTCATCTACGCTGCATAATTCTGTGATTTTTTAAAAAAGAAATAAAGGATTTTCTCTTTCTACCCTGAAGGTCCCGATTTCAAGCACTACCCAATTCTTTTTTTCCTCACCCTGCAGCACCAAATACTTTACATCTGATTGAATTTATCCAACAATGTACTTTTTAGTTTCACCTGACTGTGGCATATGCTGTGATGGGACTGTTTCAGACACTGCCCTGTTTACACTAATTTCTCCCTCACTCTCCATTTCCACATTGTGGAAGAATTGCCATTCCACATTCCCCTGCAGTGAGCAAATATCTTCTGAAGCAAGGAGTGCACATTGTCTTTGACCTACAATGCCTTCTTAGACAACCATTTCATCATCGCAGAAGAAGTAAGCTAGGACTAACTGTAAGAATTACCTATGCAGCATATTTAAATCTTCTTCCCATAGGATACCGCTGATCGATTATCCAGCTTTAAAAAATTAAATTAAATTAACATCAAACTACTCTCAGAGTATACTGAAATGGCAGGACAACTAATTCGTTATAGAAGTCACCTAGTTGTGAAGTGCTATGCCCAATAGTACATATTTTATACATCCATATGGACTACCTAACCAGTCTGAACACAGAAGTCTCATTTAATTTTGGAAGCTGCACAGAGCCAGGGCTGGGATGGGAGACTACAAAGGATTGATTGATTGATTGATTGATTGATTGATTGATTGATTGATTGATTGATTGATTGGACTTGTATGCTACTCACACCCTGCAAGTCTCCAGGCAGTTTCCAACATCAATTAAAACAGTTCAGTTGAAACGAACACACTAAAAACCAATACGGTTACATCTATAATCTACAAAAGCAAAAACATAAACAATCTAGAGCCATAACTCTTGTCAGTTAAAATTTAAAAAATGCAATTAAAAAATGTCCGGAACACGAAGGTTTTAACCAGGCGTCGAAATGTCAGTAATGTCTGTGCCAGTCGGATGTTGTTTGGGAGGGCATTCCAAAGACCGAGGGCAGCTGCCGAAAAGGCCCTCCGCCTACAGGCCATCCCTCTCACCTCACTGAGGGACGGCTCTTTCAGGAGGGCCTTCTGGCTAGATCTCAGTGGCTGGGTAGGTTCGTATGGAAGAAGGCGGTCCTTCAGGTATCCAAGGCCCCAGCCGTTTAGGGCTTTAGATGTCAAAACAAGAACTTTGAATTGGGCCCGGGCAATAATTGGTAGCCGGTGTCACCTGGCCAGAATCGGCTGAATATGTTCTCTCGTGGCTCCTCCACTCACCAGTCGTGCAGCTCGATTCTGAACCAGTTGTAGTCACTGGATTGTCTTCAAAGGCAACCCCACGTCAAGCGCATTGCAGTAGTCTAAACGGGCTGTTACCAGTGCATGTGTGACTGTCACGAGGCTTCGTTCGTCCAGGTACGGCCGCAGCTAGAACAGTTTCCAGTGTAACCGCATTCAGGGCAGGGAAATTCCAGGGTTCCCCAGGTAGAATTAGGAAAGACTCATGCCTGAACCCCTCTGCAAAGCCCTTGCTGACAGCTGGTGTTCACAAGACTGGGCTAAATGGACACATGGAGTGACTCAGTGTTAAGGCAGCTTCTTGTTTCGATATGTAGTTAAATGCACACATACATACCAAATGTATGTGAAGTCTGTCCAGAAGTAGCTAGCAGCCTTCCTGAAGTACAAGGTAACTGCACAGGAAAAGAAATTCCTAAACTTGTAATAGTAAGGGTTGTGTTGCAGAGAGAAATATTATCCCTTACAAAATGACAAGAGCTATGCTCTCTCTTTTGCATCTCTTCTTGCTGGGCTGGAGTCTGTCTCCAAAGTTTGTGTTTTCTAGTGAAAAAGACTCGTCCAGTTAAAACATCCAAGCTGATTGATTTTACATGACAATCTTCGACCTGAAGAGCTGTCACTGGATGTTTAATCTCCCAGTTCAGGGAAGCCTAATCAGGCACCAGCTATTCCCAGTGAGCTCACTGGTAGTTTCTCCATATTTGACAGCATCATACATCCTACTGCTGAAAATCACAGAAGAAAAATGATGCAAAAATAATTTCAATCCGAGAAGAATCTCACTCAGCACCACCCCTCTGGGATTGCATAAGGAAGGCCAAAGTGTTGGTGGAATTGTTACCAAGTATATTTGTGTAGAACAGGAGGATTACATGCACCACCAGTTATTCTGTTCTAGAATCTGAACCCCACACCATGACAGAAAGAACAAAATTCCACATTTATATGCTTGCATGTATTATATTTATAAATTGGGGGGGGGGCAAGGACCAGAAGAAACACTGCACCATGATCCTATTGCTAGTCCCAGCTACAGAAGGCCCAATGAATTAGAGAGGTTTACATTAGGATTTATTTGCCAAGGCTGATTGGTTCAATGGGTCTAGCAATTGGATTTTACCCTGAATGTCCAAAGTTTCTGCAAGCATGCCAAAAGAGGGATAATCCCTGGCAGACAAAATCAGTGGGAGGTGGTGCATTAATTTCCCTTGCAGGAGGAGTTGGAGGGAAGAGCCTTGTGGGACAGGGGTTAAACTGCAGTCAAAACTCTGCTCATGACGCAGGTTCAATCCCTGATAGCCTGCTCCAGGCTGATTCACCCATCCTTCCAAGGTTGGTGAAAGGAGTATCCAGCTTATGGGGGGAGGGGGAGGGGCAATGTGTAGCCTTCATCATTAAATTGTAAATTGCCCAGAGAGTGCTTGAAGTGCTAGGGGGTCATAAGCAGCATGCTTTGCTTTGATGATGAATTATTAGTAATTATTCCCAAAATGCCTTGCCCATGGAGGCGGTTGTTGCCTCCCGTCAACACATACCACACTGGCTGAGGACTAGTGCTGGATAGCTCAGCAGTTTAGGTCTCTGGCTGTGGAACCAGAGGCAGGGCATTCAGTTCACCACTGTGTCTGCTTGGCAGGGGCTGGGCTCCCATGTTTCGTAAGGTCCCCATCCATCTCTGCAGTTGTAAGATTTTTTTTTAAGATTTTACATTATTACTGGTGTAAAGAAAAAAAGAGTTTGTCCCCACCTGATCTGTAGGTGCCAGCAAATAGTGAACGCCGTCCTCCTCTGTGCAGCCTAAAGCAAATACAAGTAGCGTTAAGTGGAGGTTTCTCTTTTTCCAATATTTGTTTTCCACCCAGTAACTTAGGTCATCAAATGATCATTATTTTTTATGGATCTGTAAAGCCTAGAAAGTCAAAACTATGTAATACATTACATCGAAGAGTGGCCTGCTAATCCTGTGCAACCGCAGCCATGCCTGGGCCCAGGATGTGGGGTCTGGTAACTGGAAATCGGACACCGGAGGAATTCCAAACACACGCCTCAGACTCAAAACAGCTCCTGCCGCAGAGCTGGTGCTGCAGGAGCGCCTGGGATTGTATTCGTTTACATTATCTGATCCTTTTTCATCACGCATTGTTGATAAAGGAGGGGAGAAGAAAAGCACCTTGGCCAGAGCAGCCCATAAATAACCTGTGTGTGGCACGTTTGAGGCTGGGAGGGCACAAGGGGAATGCCTGCTTTGTACTGGGAGGTAGAACGGCCTTTCTTTAACATCACAAGTCGCAAAGAGCAATGCGTCACAGACCATGGTTTCTTTTAACTCTGCAAGTCAGTTTGGTCCTGCATTTTCAGATACGAAATAATGTTGTTTTCAAATGACCAAAATGAAGAACTTTTCAGGAATAGCCAGCCTTTTCAGGGGTTGTTAAACTGACCTATTCCCAATACATTTTCGCATGTGCCAGGGATCCTCTTTTTTCAAAAGAAGGATCTCTCAGATAAATGTTTTGTTGCAGAGGACCAACATGTCAATAGAACCCCCTCACTTTTTTTTGGGGGGGGAGCCTTTCAGATTCCAGGCATATGTGTTCCCGTACATACATTAGCAAAAATGTAGCAACGTCTGTACAACATTTTCACAACCAACTAGCAGATTGTGGCCCACTGGTGGAAAATGGCTGCTACAAAGCCTACTGTTCCTCAGTAGTATTACATACCTATAAACTCTTGAGCTTATTTGAGCAAAGTGTAACGAAATATGTCTGACTGTAATTTTTTTTTTGCACTGAAAACATCTGGAAATTAGCAAAGACATGGCAAGAACCCCACCAGTTTTGTTGGGATAATTTTGCCTCCAGTATAAACATCTCAGGTTCCCTCAAAATTTCTAAGAAATTTTGCCTAAGGCAGAACCACCACATTTTCCCTGAACATCCCTGATGCCCTCAGTCGCTTGGTGGCAAAAAGAACTGCCTTTTCACTGCACAAGACTGTGGTCTGTATTTTGACACAGTTTCTTGTGGGCTTCTTATGGGCTTGAGCTGGACTGCTGTGCCAACTCAAGAGAAAGCAAGGAGGGACCTATTTAATAAAATCTTTCGGAGCAGATTATTTGGTAAAAAGCATACTAAAAGTGCAATCCTGACTCAAATAGATGCAGAAAATGGGGAAATTCCCTAGAGACTTGCTTATCAGGTGACTCTCATTTAGGTACTGTCTTGGTGTTTCACTGTGGGCAGAGCAGGAGCGAAGGGCAGGACGGGTAAGCAGGTCCCCCTTCTTTCCCGTTAATTCCAAGGGGAGGAAACTAACTATGGAAGCCTCATGAAACATCTGCCTTATGACTCCTCTCCTTATAATTTATTGCTCCGATGCTTTACCAGCAAAGTGACAACTGGAACATGAAATTGGAAAGGGGCACTTTGGATTCTGCAGGCTGGGCCCAGAGTCACAGACCAGGCTGTCCACGGCTGTACCATACAGAAAATGATGGGGGGGGGGGGGAGACAGAAAAAATCTCTTGCCCCTGCAAGACAGAAAGATAAACTCATTAGAAAGAAAGAAAGAAAGAAAGAAAGAAAGAAAGAAAGAAAGAAAGAAAGAAAGAAAGAAAGAATGAAAGAAAGAAAGAAAGAAAGAAGCACAGGAAGACACCTTAAGTGTTTGGCCCATGGTTTTAGGACTGTGGGAATATGGAAGCTGTTACTTCCCTCTCCAAATTCCTCCATCCTTTTCTGTTGTGTCTTTGCGTTATTCCTTTTCGACAGTCTGCACATGTAATCATCACGATACAATACGATATGATGGAGATATTGCTAGGTAGCAATACGCTGCTAGGGTTACTGTTGAAGGTGTGGACGAGGCTATTATAGGGAGGTGCTGGTTGGTGTTACTTCTCCGAATTTTTCTTAATTCTGTGGTATTTCTGTGGACACAACTGGAGAATAAGGGACTCCTGGACTTGGTGTATCAATGACATGGCCCTTTCCCTTGTGGCCACCAGGCGGACAAAAACGTTTGGAGAGCTTTAATGTTGGCCTGTCGGAGAGGCCTTACAGGAAAAGCTCAACACAGTTTCATGGTTAGATTGGGGACTAAGAGACATATAATGTTAAATGAAGAACTAAAGATGACACATAAATACAAAATCTATAGTAACTATGTAACTGTACATGTAACTTTAAAAAAAAAAGAAAATACATTTAGAAATTGAAATTATCTTTTTTGGGGGGACCATCTGAGGAGGACATTTCAAATCTTTTGTCTCTTCTAGTCCTTTTTTGGGAGGGGTGGAGTGGGTGTAATGTGAAAGAGAAGATGAGAAAGAAAGGCTTAAGTAAACAACCACTATTTATCATTCTGTAACATTTTTAATTTGCAAAGTGCTTTACAATCTTTAGTGGATTTGCCCTCAGAAACCTCTCAGATTTCCCATTTTACAAATGGGGAACAGAAGCCCTGAGAGAGATTAATGGAGAGGCCCCAGAGTGACTCCATGTCAGAGGCAGAGCTTGAACCCAGGTCACTTGCATCTGAGATCAAAGCCTTCTCTGCTGGACCAGACTTCAGCTGCACACTCCACATAACTCACATTTTTTTCCACCCTTTTTGAGTAGACGTCAGTACAAATGGGTTTAGGTGTCTATGTCATTTTTTTTTCTGATTCAGTTTTACAAAGCTCTTTGTAGATATGACCTTGCAATTCATGGGAAGTGGACCAATTCAGATGATCATTGTTACTGTGGTGTTGAATGCACCTAAAACAGTTGTGAGGAATACTGCATATGCTAAGATCATAGTTTCCATCTAGGTTTAATTAGTTTTTTAAAATGTCTCAATTTTTTTAAAAAAATGTCTGTTATGAAAAAGATGGAAATTTGCCTTGCCTTGAGGCCCACCTAGTCCTATCATTCAGAGGCCAAGCAATAAAATGTGTCTGCCCAAGCTTTTAAGAATGGAAGATGTATTTTTAACTTACAGCCATTTGGGTTTTTATGTATATTTAACAGAAAAGCCAAACAAAGTTAAAATATTATTATTAAGTTTAAAAGTTTATGTTGTTTTTGCTACATTACTATTACTGTTACCCTGTGGTACCTCCCTTTACTATCCAGGAAACATAAACAGCTGTAAGAGGTGCAGAGTGTCCATGGCATATGTGTATGATCTCAAAATGGGTAGAACATCCAGACCACACGCAGAAGCGCCTGCTACTTTTGCTGGCTGCCTGATTCTTCTTCCATTTTGTCACAGTCTGATGGCAAGTGAGAGCAGCGCTTGTGGAATTTCTTCCTACACGTCTCTGTGGAGCAAGAAGGCAAAGCTTCCTTATCACAGCACAGTGTGTCCAGGGTCCCCCTCTTAGCACACGCAGGCTCGTCAGTCTTTGCCTCACCATGGGAGCCTCCCCCTTGGTCTCCACAACTTGTTCCGGGGCTCTCTGCCTGGCCATCTTGGATGAGAGCCTCCCTCCAAATTGTCGGATTCATATGCAAGCAACATATATTTAGGGCCTCGTTACAAATTTAACAATATGCACAAAAACTACAGCACTTCAAGTTTCATGTAGCTTTTGGTAATGCTACAGGGCCTCTTAAACTTGGCATAGCTTTGGGCCTCAACCTGTCTTAATCTAAACTGCCAGTCCTGTCAACCAGATGCTCCTATGGGTATAACAACAATACAATGAAGAGCACACCGGTTAAATTTTCCCTGGCCTGTGTCCAATTTTATTTCCATTCTTGAGACCTATGTATACCCATTTCTCATCATTTCCTGTTACTGGGAATGCTCCCCACATGTCTTCTGGAGTGGCTGGACATGCAAGAGTTAGTTTGAATGAGTCCCAGGGGTCATTAATTTTCTGTTTGTCTGACAGACAGTCGTACCCTCCAAACTATGGGTCACTGGGGAGGCATGAACCAGCCTCCTGAACTCTGAGCCCTCAGGAGTGAACAAAAACAAGAGGAGAGGAGAACAAAATTCATTAGGACCTCCTCAGAGGTGGCCATTCCTGCAAAAAGAGAACACAGCATTGTTTGGCTTCTATTTGGAAAGGAGTTAACTAGGAGCACCCATGAACTCTCTGTGTTTACGTGTGTGCACTTACTTGCTTTTTAGAAACTAGTAATAAGTTAAGCGCTATGTAAGGTCAAGAGCAGGTTAGCTGGTTGAGACTTGCATGTTTACATGGCTGGTGCTGTCCCATCCATTATTAGTCTCTCTCCCACACACAAAGACACACATTTGTTAATCTCTCCTACCACCTGCTCTGGTTTCGGTGAGATCTGGGATTTGAGGGTTTTCTGTTGTATCCCAGAGAGAAAGAACTACACATTACTCTCAAACAATGCCACACATGAAAACAACACCCTCGTGGTTTCTTTTTCTTACTATTTATGAGGATCACTCATGCCATTGCCTGATGTTGCAATGTGCATTTCCTGCAACCCCTCTGTTTCACTAAATATCATAGTAAAAGGAATGAGACCCAGCTAGCCGCTTCATGCTGCATATACATTATTTCCATTTCAGCTACTGCAGCTGTTCATGATTTTGTTAGAAATAACAGATAAGTACCTATATTTACATCTTGACCTAAAGTAATGCATATGTTTACATAAAATAATGTGGCAGTAGTGTGGGGAGAAAGAATAGGATTGTCATTCTACATTGGTCTATAGCCAAAATACTTCCAAAGAAAATGCAGTCAAACTTTACTAATTCTGGGTCACTGAGAATGAAAATGATGCTAAAATTAGTTGATTGGCTCTGGTTTTGAAG